GTTGTTGTGCGTGTCGGAGATGCAAACGACTGACACGGGGTCTACAATGGGGATGGCCGGGATGGGGGCCCTCCAAGTGTATAGTTTCCGAGCGAGGAAAATGCAGGGCCTCTCGAAGAACTTCTGCCAAGGGCCGGGACGACGGCGGTTGATGAGCGCGTCTAGGCCGGAACTCCGCTGGCTGAAGGAGAACATGAAGGCCGCTGGTGATCAAGGTCGGAGGTTCGTGTTCTCCGTTCAGTTGAGCCGCGACGTCCAGTCCAGCTCTCCTCTCCACTGTAACTCAGTAATTACGTACTCCGTAGGTTCCCCCGCCTCTGTAAGTGGCTTGGGCACGGGCCAGAATGTTCTGGAGATGCCCGCGTGCGCTTTGGTTCGGCTGCGGAGATACCCGTAGACAGAGCCAAAGTCTCCTTGGAGCAGCTGACAGCACTTGTGTGTCAAGATGGGTTTCCTGAATCACGAATGAGATGATCATCTAAATGTACCCATATGATTGATTGGTCGGCAAGAAAGCTATATTGTTGGAAAAGACTTGCCACTGCCGCTACTGAAGTGATTTGCGATTATGGACTGACGCATCGGCTGACCCAACACTATATCGTGACGCTATGATGCGGGTACGCGCCAGTATAGCGGACAGCACTGCACTACCAAGTACACTAGTAACACTGCACGGCCAGGCCGCCCTGCCTCGTGCCTTCCCCAAACCAAACTACGGACTAATACCCCACCATCACAACCTCATCTGCCCTCACCTGCCTTTGAAACTCAGCTGCAGAACCCCAATAAATAGCCAACCATGAGAAAGCTCAATCAGCACGTCTTCTTTGTCTTGCCCAATACCTAGTCAAAAGGCCCTTTTGTCTAACATCAATTCAATCAAAACAACATCCACAGCTGAACCCAGCCAGTCACAGGTTCCGATCTGACATCCTGTTCACATAATCCAGCAGGCAGGCGTACAAGCCCGCAACGCAACAACTCACGACTTTCAAACGATTGCCACCAACTTGCTATTCCAGAAACACTATGCCCAACCCAATTCAACCCATTGGAGAAGAGTCTCCACCTGTTTCTCCTCCTACATCTCCCAGGCAGAGAAGAGCTTCGACATCGCTTCATGCTGCGGCGGCTATGAATGCTGGGCTGCAACAAGAGGTTTCAAGAAGTAAGCTCCCTTGATGTTCTATAAATCCCATGCCGCATTCCTCGTCCTTGCCGTCTTAGCAATACGTCCTTCGCGACTACCCGCCATAGTACTGACCAGCTGTTCTTTCCCTCAGGATCATCGATTAGCTCTCTTAGGAATCAAGAGCCGTCGCCCGAGGAGGGTAGGAGGCGATCCGTGGTTCTCATGAACCTTCAACTCAACGACCCCAACGTTCCAGCACCCGGCGAGATGGTCAACGAAAACCAAGCCGGCTCCCTGAATGGCTTCGGCGCCTCGAGCCCACGTCTCCCCTCGGGCTCGCCGATGCAACTGCCCCGCTCTCCCCATCATCACCGGACCCCCAGCCTCGGAGAATTGCACCAGGAACTCGAAGAGGAGCAAGAAGCGCAAGTGGTACGTAAAAAAGCATGGAAAGTTGGAAATTTGGCCGTGTATCTAACGCAAATGGGAATGATTAGAACCGCCTGTTGCATATGATCCGACAGCAGCAACTTCAGCTTCAGCAACTCCAAGCTGCCCAGGGCCAGGCAGCACCGTCCGCCGAAGACACTAGCGCCATCTCGGAGCGATCCGTGGCTCAGCCCATCCCGACCGCAGGCGCCACATTCCCTAGTCATGCTGGCTCCTTCAGCCAGTCTCCTCGGCACCGACACCCACGTAGCTCGTTCGACATGGCTAGAGCCGACCTTCAGCGGCGGTCGCGGACTCCGAGTAGAGGAGCGAGTCGTGGAGCGTCGCCCCGGCTTCGTGCGACCTCGATTGGCGGAGATATCAATGATTCTTTGTTGCTGAGCGGACGGGATGAGAGCGCTTTCTACCAGGCCGAAACTCAGATGCTTGTCCGCGAGAACCAGATGTTGAAGCATCGCATCCGTGAGCTTGGTAAGTTGATGGTGACCCCTTATGACGTTCCAAATAAAGAGAAGGAGCAGTGCTAACAAATTGATAGAGAAGCAACTTTCCGAGGCGCAGGTTGTTCCTGCTATTCCTCATGAACCTAGCAATCCCTCTCATCTTGCACAGATTGTGACAACCGCCGAGGGTGAGGGCTCTAAGAGTGGTGCCGAGGCCAATCCCCCTGCAAGCACGTAGTAGTTAATGCACTCTGATTTTTTTTTTTTTTTGGCTCGTCTCGTCGTCGTCAGAGAGAGGCGCCACGCGAGATAGGGACTACACAATTCTTTCTTTTTCCTCTCGTTATCCCACTCTGTCTTTCCCTTTCCCACTCAGTTGCATACGAAGTACTGGGGTAGTAATTCAATGTCAAGGCGACTGCTTTCCTTTTCTGGCGTTAGGAGATAATAAGGGTTACGTCGGCACGGCGTATACAGGTTGTTTTGCACTTGGAAGATGGACTCTCATAAAACAAAAACGATGTATCTCCTAAGCTCTTATAACTGCCCAAGAAGATTTAATTCCATTTTCAATTCTAGCTTGTCATTTGACGGTGCTGATATATAAATTGATTTTTACTTGTAAACCCGGCATGTTTTCGTTGTTCTGGGCATGTATGTGACTTGGAGTATGTACATGATCGGCGTTATCTCGACTCTCTGTGGTCCCGCAGATATTCTTTCCCCTCCGCTTTCCAGCCTCCACCTCCCCCCCAGTCCGGACTAACTGCCAATACACCGTTTTGTAAAGATGATGCGTCCGCTGTTATCGGCAAAGATACTTGCCAGGCCTATCCTGGGCATTGCTAGATCACAACGGAGCTTTTCCACTTCTCCTACTGCTCATGCCGATTTCGCTCACACGGTATGTTTCTCACACACAAGACCTGAGTCAGATGAAGCCGAGATCCTTTCCCCTTAGGCCTGGCGCCAAGTTCGCTCACTCATCCTTGCCAATTGAACCCCCTACAACCCTTCCCCTAAAAATTTTGAAGAAAGGTAAACCCCATGCCTAACATGTGGGATAAACTAGGTAATCGGCGCCGGCGTCGTCGGCCTCGCCACCGCCCGCTCCCTAGCCTCCCACGGCCCCACCCTCCTTCTCGAACGCCGCCCCCAACACGGCACCGAAACCTCCTCGCGCAACAGCGAAGTCATCCACGCGGGGCTCTACTACGGCCGCTCAAGCCTCAAGACGTCCCTCTGCATCCGAGGCCGGCAGCTCCTTTACGCTCTCTGCGCCGAGCGGGGGATCCCGCATCGCAAGACGGGCAAGTGGATCGTCGCGCAGAATGAGGCGCAGCTGGGCGCTCTGCGGGACGTGGAGGCGTTGGCGAGGGATTTGGGGGTTCCCGTGCGGTGGGTTAGTGAGGAGGAGGTGGAGAGGGAGGCTGGTGGAGGCGTGGTTAGGGCTGCGAGTGGGTGTTTGGAGAGTTTGGAGACGGGGATTGTGGATTCTCATGGGTTGATGGTTTGCTTGCTGGGGTTGTTTGAGGAAGATGGGGGGATTATGTCTGTGAATTCGGAGGTTGTGGACATCGAACCCTTGGGGGGTGGGCGTGGCGAATCTGGGTGGAAGATCACCGTCCGAGACGCGCAAAGCGGCGAAACTTCCTCCATCACGACCGACGTCCTCGTAAACTCCGCCGGCCTAGGCTGCGCACAAATCCACAACATGATCGTACCCCCCTCTCAAAAAATGGACCTCTTCTTCGCAAAGGGCAACTACTTCTCCTACACCGCTTCTCCGCAACCCCGGATTACGAAACTCATCTACCCTGCCCCGGAACCGGGCCACGCGGGGCTCGGCACGCACCTGACCCTCGATCTGGCAGGGAGGATCCGTTTCGGCCCGGACGTCGAATGGGTCGATTCGCCCGACGATCTGTCCGTCAGCACTGAGAGGCTGCCGCTCGCCGTCGAGGAGATTAGGAAGTATCTCCCCGGTATCGATGAGAATGCTTTGGTGCCGGATTATGTTGGTATTCGGCCTAAGCTTTCGAGGCAAGGGGCTGTCACGCACGGGAAGGGGTTTAACGATTTTATTGTGAGGTTGGAGGATGGGTATTCTGGGTGGGTTAACTTGCTTGGCATTGAGAGCCCTGGCTTGACGAGCAGTCTTGCCATTGCTGAGAGGGTGGAGCGTCTGTTGTACGGATGATGCGTGGCCTAGAGGTACGGGGCACAGAGTCCGTCTACTTTGGAGGCATAGACAATGGACACGAACAATCTGGGCCAAGAGGAGGACGGTTATCATGGGGTTATCATTTGCATAGATACATAAATGCTATAGAATCGAGCGAACTAGCTGGAGTACATGATTGTGTATTTGCAAGGCCACACTGCCCTCGAGGCCCAAGGCTTCGAAAAATTTGCAATTTGAGAACCCATCCTCTTCTCCTCCTGATGCACGGCCTTGAAGCTTTAAAAAGAAGGAAGGGAATAAAAAGAAAAGGGGAAGGTTTTCAAGTTGTCCGATGTCTTGCGCGGTGGAAGGAGAAAATATAGGAGAAATGCGCCACGAAAGCTTTTCCTCAGCATACGGAAGAATGATGGAGAAGGCATAAGACCGTTGGGGATAGTTGGGTCAATAAGACCCGGTGACCCAGTTTCTCACAGTCTCTGCCCTGCAAGGGAAGAAGAATGTTCCTTGTGCCAAGTTGTATATCCAAATAAAAAGAAGGTATCATGGAAACACTGTTCGTTTCCCGTCAAAAAAACATTGGTAGCGGCATTAAAGCATTAAACCGGGGGAGTCATTGCTTGTGTATCAGAAAGAACCGTGACGCCATAAAACACCATGAGGGAATTATCGTTTGCAAAAGGGAATAGGCATAGAAGGTGAAAAAATGAATTCATATGTGTGTGTCCGACTATCATAAATGGGAATAAACGGCCAAGAAAAAGGTACAAGAAAGTGGTAAGGAATATGATCACTGGAGGGTGATGCTGGGGTGGAGTTTTCGGCCCTGGATATTGACGTGGTACTCATAAATGCCATTTTGCGCGCCCACAAACCTAAGAGTAATAATGTTGTCAGTTGGAAACGAAGATCAGAAGAGCCTCGGCAGAGACATTGACTTACAGGAGGCGGCCATCTTCGCTCCACGCCAGTCCTGATGTATTATCTGGCGTGGGGGGTGAGTGGTGGACCTCTCGGTCGTCCACATTTCTTCGCATCAAGTTGTCAAACTCCCTGTCAGAGAGGAAGGCGACGAAGGGAGTGCGTTCACGTCGAGTTGTGTCATTATTATTATCGCCTCGATTGTATTCGCTGCTATAGGCAGCAAGACTGTACAGAGCTTCGAGGTCGTCGAGGCGGTGAAGACCCCAGTCACCCCGACGCGCTCGATTGGACCGAGGGATCGGGGGGTCGCCAGATGTAGTGGTATTTCCGCCGAGGGGTCGCTGAGAGGGGCTACCACGATCCTGGTCACGATCGGCCCGGTCCAGACTATTGCCTAGAAGGAGGTCGATGGCACGACTCAGACCAGGGCCCCCCTCTCCTAACGAGGGGGAATCTGTTCGAGAATTGTCACCAAGCTGTGCACGCCTTGCGGCACGTTCGGCGCGTTCGGCCCAGACGGAGAGCCTGGCATTTCCCAGAGACGGAGTGCCATCACCGTGTCTAGTTGCGGGGTCTGCTCCCCCTCGTTGGGCGGCGCGTTGTTCCCTACGGCGTCGACCGTCCTGGAGAGCTTCGAGAATTAACGTTTCGTCCGGCGTGAGAGGCGAGTCATGTCGCGTCCGGTCGTCTCGGCGCCGATCAGAAAAGAAGGGTAGGCCCGATAGACGTTCATCTCGATCGCCTCGGTCGCTTCGGCGGCCGAGCAAGCGAGGGTCGATGGCGTTGCCGTCCAAGATTCTGACTTCCTGGCCACCATCTTCTTTATCTCCGATATCGATGTATTGGCGATAGACAAAGCCGTTTCGTATATCTGCGATGCCGACCCGTGCCTTGTCCTCCGTCCACGCTAGCAAGTCGTACGGACCAGGAGAAAAGGCCATGTCTCGGACAGCACCAGATAAGGTCTCGGGACGGGAGGACTGGAAGGAGGTAATTAAGGGGTTTTTGGATCGGTCAGTGAAGGCGGAGACATCAAAAATGGAGATTGTTCCGTATTGAGTGCCCACAGCCAAATAGGCGCCCGAGTTTGAGAAGCACGCTGCAAAGCTTCCGCGGCTTTGTGACACATCGTCGCGGCGCTGGCTCTTCAGTAGATAGCGATCACGATACTCCCACTTGTACTGTTTCTGATTGTTGGTCGAATTCGCTCCGACCCGTTCGTGAACGTACAAGTAGGGGTCGTCCAGGACGGCGACTAGTAACCGTCCGTCAGGGGATATGACTGCCCTATTGACAAAGTCGGGATAGGTGATGATGTGGAGAGGTTCGATTTTGTCGTTATCTTCGAAATCGTTGAGACTGACAAGCGCTACGGTCTTGTCATTGTTGGCGAGTACGGCGATGGGTTCGTTATGCGCGCCCTCCCAAGGTCGACTGTCGACAGGAGGGAACCACAGGGTAATGCAGTTAACTCGGTCGCGTACGAGTTTCATGCTCTTTCCAATGAGCATCTTGGAGCGGTTGGCGGCTCTCTCCACCAAAGACAACATGCTGGAAGCATCGTTCGTAGAAGCATCGAGATCCAGCGGCAAGCGGGCATCGGGATCTAGATCGAGCTGCATGTCCATATCGCCGGGTTCTTGGCGTTGCTCAAGTCGCACGGCTGTGAACTCTCCAGTCTCTCCTCCGCAACAAACCCAACCATTCTTCGCAACAAGGCATCTCGGAGAGAAGGAGAGAACGCGGATAGTTTCTAGGCTGTGTGTATCTGTATCGAGTTTTAGGATGTGGTTATTCTTCGTACCACCCGGGAAGTAGATGACGTTTTTCCTCTCGACGCTTATCAAAGATCGTAGCTGCCAATGCCTGTGAGGGAAAGAACGCCATTAGTAGACTGAACGACCACGTTGTATCATATTGACAGTGCGGAAGAGGCAGGAGGAAGAAGGAAGGGAGGGAGCAGATTCCCAAGCTGCTACTAGGAATGACCAAATGCTGGGGAGTATGCGGCCAGATGCAACATGAGGTGTCGGTATAAAAGTCTAGGAACCAGGATATGATTGAGACGTACTGCGAGCGGACATTGACGTGATAGTGCGTTTTCGATTGCTTAAGAATAAAATAATCGGTAGGATAAAGTCTGCAGGTCGCCGTCAGCAACATGTCTCGAATAGTTTCGGATAGAGACGGAATCTCTCAAGGATGGGTTTGGACGCATACGGTGCTTCGTCACCACCGCCCATCTTGACGATTATGATATGGGCGACGGTAAAGAACTCATTGGCAGCGGGGGCGGCAGAGGCGAGGCTTTGCTGGCCCTTGGCGTGGCGAGGTGGGACAAAGGCGGCGAGCGGAATGTCAACGGTTCTCTTGTCGCAGCTCTCTCGTCCTTGGTGATGGAAAGTCGTCTGTTGGCGGAATTTTGATGCTGGTGGCAGGCTGTCTCAAATGAAGATGGTATTTCGTTATTTGTGGAGGAGTCGGGGTTGCGATCAATTTACAGTGATGTGCGGATGGAAGTCGAAGGTGGTCTGGAAGTGGGAGGCGAGGTAGTTCTGGCATGACGTTAATGAGACGCATAAAAGGTACGAGGTCGACTGTCGCTTTTTACAAATGGAATGAGCAACCTAGAGTGCCTTCTTCGTGTTCACAATATTGTACCATCCTGTACAGCCCCACAAAAAGCCGTCGACAGTTGCACTCCCGCATCAACGCCAGCTGCCATCGTCCTGCTGGTCCTGTTGGCTGGTCTCAGGAGCCGATGGCAATGTGATAATCTGCTCTGCGCTGATACCTGCCGCATCGGTGATGATTGACTCGACATTTCTCACTGCATCGATGCTGTCTCTACCTGGGCATCTTCGAAGCGTTTTAGCTTCCATTGCAATCGATCAGTCGATTCCTGTGCTATCGGATCCCACGCAACCGAGTCGAGAAATGCTGTTTTCTCAATGTGCATTTTTACCCATAAGCTCAAGTCGACTCAGCCCTCAGTCGCAAAAGAGCAAATGTCGAGGAGGAAGCTTTGGCCTCTGGAAGATATTGGGGACTCTGGTCATTTGATTTCTTCTGGCGCACCTTATACAATTGCAAGCAAACTACACAGGTACAGACAGGTACGAAGTAATTTGTGTGAACCTCAGGGAGGACTGGGATTTCGGCCAAATGGGATTGATCAATGTCAAAGAATGAGCAACATTGAGCTAAATTTAAGTACCCTCTCAACACCGTTGAACTGAAATGTCTTCATCAAGATATTGAAAGTTTTTTGGAGGCTCATTTAGTCTCCCTCGAGCCGAAAAACATGGTATATCCGACTATACACCACAGGATAGCCCAATGATGATCCATGTGGCAAAGAAGACCAAATGGCAAAGCAACAGATCATTGCCCAAGCATTTCCGAGGTGATTCTGTTCGGCTTCCCTTCTGTTCAATCAACGATGGAGTCGAGGAGCTTCCTTGCTCTCAGAGAGCATCCAGCAAATGGGAGCGATTGCTAACCTTCTCAACAAGCCGGGGTCCCTCCACACTGTGGGTACCTTAGGGGGTACATCCAACTGGAAAGAGCTTAGCCATCACGTGACCCGATTTCCGTCAGTTTCCATGGGCCGGATTTACCGACGCCGACGCGAGAAATCTGCAGGGAAGTTTTTTTTTGGTCTCTTTTCCTGGCCTTCTTATTGTTCACGTCACCTGAAAAATTTCCAATTCTTCTTTCCTCCTTTCCTTTCTCCATCAACCATCTCCCATCCCATCGCGATATCTTCCTTCCCTCATCTTTCTTTCGCCTTTCACCGTGTAATACTACAATATCCTTCCCCCGATACCCTTTCCATTTAATTCGGACGTCCTCTGTTTTAGGGCGTCGAGGCTCGAGGATAGGTTACAGCAGTTTTCAACTCAATCTCCCCTTCTTTCACAAATACCACACAAGATGCTCGCTTCGCGACTCTCCCGAGCTGTAAGTTCAAAACCTGCGACTCTTGACTTGATCGACTCGTGCAGCTAACAAAGAGCTTCGACGAAAGCTTCCTCGAGCTACCCCCATCACTGCCCGCGCTGCCGGCATAGCCAGGGCACCTCTCGCCGCGAGGTTCGCCCGCTATGAGTCCAACGATGCGAAGGTGCAAGGTCCAGTCATCGGTATTGACCTTGGTAAGTAGCCATCCTCGAGCTCTTTGCATCAATGGTCAAGACGCGTGTGAATGAGATCACGACTAACATGGCAATTGAACAGGTACGACAAACTCTGCCGTCGCCTTCATGGAAGGTTCCATCCCCAAGATTATTGCCAACTCCGAAGGTGCCCGAACTACTCCTTCCGTAGTTGCCTTCACCGAGGAGGGCGAGCGTCTTGTTGGTGGCGCCGCCAAGCGTCAGGCCGTCGTTAACCCAGAGAACACCCTCTTCGCCACCAAGAGGTTAATCGGCAGGAAGTTCACCGATGCTGAGGTCCAGCGTGATCTCAAGGAGGTGCCCTACAAGATTGTTCAGCACAGCAACGGCGATGCCTGGGTTGAGGCCCGCGGCAAGAAGTACTCTCCCTCTCAGATTGGTGGCTTCATCCTCCAGAACATGAAGGAGACCGCTGATGCCTACCTCACCCGCGACGTCAAGAACGCTGTCGTCACCGTCCCTGCCTACTTCAACGATTCTCAGCGTCAGGCCACCAAGGATGCTGGTCAGATTGCTGGTCTGAACGTCCTCCGTGTCGTCAACGAGCCTACCGCTGCCGCCCTTGCCTACGGTCTTGAGAAGGATGCCGACCGCGTCGTCGCTGTCTACGATCTTGGTGGTGGTACCTTCGATATCTCCATCCTCGAGATCCAGAACGGCGTCTTCGAGGTCAAGTCCACCAACGGTGATACCCACCTTGGTGGTGAGGACTTCGATATCCACCTCGTCCGTCACCTCGTCCAGCAGTTCAAGAAGGAGTCTGGCATTGATCTGTCCAACGATCGCATGGCCATCCAGCGTATCCGTGAAGCAGCTGAGCGTGCCAAGATTGCCCTCTCCTCCTCTTCCCAGACCGATATCAACCTTCCCTTCCTTACCGCCGATGCCTCTGGACCTAAGCACTTCAGCACCAAGTTCACTCGCGCTCAGCTTGAGAAGCTCGTTGACCCCTTGATCAACAAGACCATCGAGCCCGTCCGCAAGGCCCTCAAGGATGCCGGCCTCCAAGCCAAGGACATCCAGGAGGTCATCCTTGTTGGTGGTATGACCCGTATGCCCAAGGTCTCTGAGACTGTCAAGTCTATCTTCGGCCGTGACCCCGCCAAGTCTGTCAACCCTGATGAGGCTGTTGCCATGGGTGCCGCCGTCCAGGGTGCCGTCCTTTCCGGCCAAGTCAACGATCTTCTCCTCCTTGATGTCACTCCCCTTTCTCTTGGTATCGAGACCCTCGGTGGTGTCTTCACCCGTCTCATCAACCGCAACACCACCATCCCCACCAAGAAGTCCCAGGTCTTCTCCACTGCCGCCGACTTCCAGACCGCCGTCGAGATCAAGGTCTTCCAGGGTGAGCGTGAGCTCGTCAAGGACAACAAGATGCTCGGAAACTTCCAGCTCGTTGGCATTCCTCCCGCGCACCGTGGTGTTCCTCAGATCGAGGTCACCTTCGACATTGACGCCGACTCCATTGTCCACGTCCACGCCAAGGATAAGTCCACCAACAAGGACCAGTCCATCACCATTGCTTCCGGCTCTGGTCTCTCCGACTCTGAGATTGAGCGCATGGTTGAGGAGTCCGAGAAGTTCGCTGAGCAGGACAAGGAGCGCAAGGCCGCCATTGAGGCTGCCAACAAGGCCGACAGCGTTCTCAACGATACCGAGAAGGCCCTCAACGAGTACGCTGACAAGCTTGACAAGGCCGAGGCTGACACCATCCGTGAGAAGATCGCCGGCCTCCGTGAATTCGTCTCCAAGAGCCAGGCTGGTGAAGGCACCGCCACCGCCGCCGAGCTCAAGGAGAAGACCGACGAGCTCCAGGTTGCCAGCTTGAACCTCTTCGACAAGATGCACAAGGCCAGGGCTGAGGGCCAGCAGCAGAGCTCCGAGCAGTCCTCCACCGAGGGTGAGAACAAGTCCTCTTAAGTGAGTTGACTTGGGTGTTTTATCACCATTGTATCTTGTACAACCACCAACAACCAAAAAAGAAAAAAACCATATGAAAATTTGTCATAATATCACGGGGGAAAGCACTCGATAGATTTTTTTTTCTCATTTTTTTTTTCTGTTCTTTTTTTGTTACACCACCCATTGTTCCAGTATCCGGAGTGTACTCATATTTGCGCGTTGCCGGCTTGGTCCCATCTCATCTGTTGTTACACTGGCACTACCAGGTATTGTATTATCTGATGAGATGTTGGCCTTGCGGCGGGTTTGGCAGTATTGGCGTTGGGGCATCAAAAACCTTGTCATCCCTAGATGTCTCGGGGGAGGGATATCCAATTTACGATAAGTGGCATGGGAGAGGGGACTAAACGCTCTTGTACATAAGACACGGTCATCTTGACGAAAAACAAATAATAAGAAATCGCCACTCAAAATAAATGAGGCATATTTTTTTTCTTTTCCGTCCTTACGGCTTCATGGCTTTTGTGACACTTGCTCTCTTTTTTTTTTTGCTTCAAACCCCTTGAACATCACGACACCTTGATATTTCTTGGCATTATAGGTTACCCCATGCACTCTATGTCGGCCAACTTTTCATAAAAAATGCGTTTCTTAGGTAGAAATCTAATCCATTACCTTCCAAATCCGAACCATCCCCTCTTCTGTGGCGCTGGAGCAGGCTTCGCAGCCTCGCCCTTCTCCTCTTCCTCCTTCTTCTCCTCAACCTCTTCAGTGCGCCTACCAGGATAATCGATATAATTCCACGCCACGTCAAGGAAAATAGGCTTCCCAGGAATAAGCGGCAACTTCGGCGGCCACTCAACAAGGTTCTCGAGATCGACGCCCTCGGCGGGCCACTCGTGCAGACGGTCGATCAATGGGACGGAAGGATGGACCCTGGACTTTGGGGGATTCTCCTCGAGCTTCTTCTCGATGTGGACGAGGGCACGGAAGCGCTGGACTTGGCCATCGAGGAGGGATTCGAGGAAGGAGAGGTCCGTAGGGGAGACTTGGATGTTGAGGGGGGAGTTGGGGGTCGTCGGGGAGGTGAGGATGGGTGTGGAGGTTTGCACGAGGGTGTGGGCGTGGGCGAGGAGGGCGAGTGCGTTACGTCTGTTGCCGGTTAGGGCGTGGGAGCGGGCGATGGAGAGGGCTCTTTGGTTGTTGTTAGTATGTATGATCAGAATAAGAGGAAGGGAATATCCTTACTTGAGTGCGGTAAAGTATTTTTCGGTTGCCTCCAGCCGCTGTGTTAGTTCCTCATCGGCAGGTACACCAGGGAGGGCTTTGGCTTCCTCTAGATTCTGAAGAGCGCCATCGTAGAGAGCAACTCTTTCCTTTAACTTGTTGAGTTTCTGCTTCAGCTTCATCTCCCTTGGCTTGTTCTCATCCTTAGCCTTAGCCCTCTTCTTCAATTCCCTCTTCGATAACTCGGCATAATCCTCAAGCGCGCCATCGTGGGGTCCGGTTAGAACACGGTTGCGCCCTACTCTCCAGCTTATCATCTCAAAGTTAACTGCTGTACGCGTAATCTGCAGACTCTGCATGCGAGGGTCGGTCTGCGGAACGTTCTCGCCTCTCAGCTCATCCAATGCCTGTTTCGTCGCGTCAACGGCATCCTGGGTAGCCGTAAGGATGTCATCGTATGCGCCGGCCAGTTCTTTAGGGACTATAGATCCTGATGAAGCCACCTTACTCGTGAGGGCCTCTTTTGCCGCCAGAGTAGCTTTCCAGGCGAGCGCAATCGCGGCGTCCTCGATGCGTACTTCTCTCGACCGCCACGCCAGCGTCTTGGGCACATCCTCCACACCAGCTTCCTGCTTGGACTCCGCGTCCTCTTGCCTCAACACGGACGGATCCCGTTCGTTAATCTCATCCACGAGGAATGAGTTGGACGTCGGGAAGGCTTTTCGAGCGATGATATGGACCGGCACGGTTCGGGGCGTCTTGAGCTGATAGGCGGCGAATTGGATCGAAGGATCGATGATTTCGGAGAGGAGATCCTTGTACGTCTCGCCGTCGGCAGAAGACGTCTTCAGCGCGCTGTAGATGGCATGGGAAACAGAGTAGTTCTTTAAGCACTTCTCCCAGCTCTGCTTCTCGAAGTTGGCCGCTCCGCGCATCATGCCTGCGTAGGCGAAGGCCTCGAGGATATCCGTCGATTTTGCTCCGGAGTCCTCAGAGTCGGAGAGGATTGAGACGAGGTGCTCGGCCGTGTGCGCCGCCTTTTCGATCCGGGAGATGATGTGGGATCTCGTCCGGCCGGCGATTCCCTTGGCGTCGGCCATGTGGGCGGTCCTCATACTCATGGCATGGGCCCAGGCCCGCTCGCTGGTAAGAAGCAGAAGACGCACATATCTATATTTTTACCATTCTTAGTGCCAAGTTCGGGGGAGGGTGTTGAGTTGATGGGACGTACTCGGGGTTCTCCCTAATTTGCTCTGCTGTCACCTCGTCTTTCTTCTGGTACTTTCCGCGGTTCCTGGTTGCGATGCCTAGCGTTTTCCGGGACTTTAGGAGTCGGCGAGAGAGTTGGCCCCTGTATACCGCATTGTCGCCGAAGGCCTGGGCTCGGCCGGATACCACAAACTTTGTGATATCCATCGTTGGGGGTTAATATCGTGGAGGAGTGTGCTAATGCGCAGTGCTCGAGAAAGCTGCTATCCACCATTCAATTGTCTTCAGGCGGGGCGGTTTCTTTGTCGTGGGGTAAGCAAGACGGATTAACGCATTATACTCGACATTGGGATGTAGTTAGGGTATGTACGCTTTATGCAATTAAGGGCCGTATTAGAAATACAGAGGTCCGCAGACGGTGGACCGAGATATGGTCTGATCTCTCGGGAAAACCTCATAAGCTCGACACTGGTTGTGATTGGCTAATATCCTGGTCTACAGACCTTTGGTCTGCGAACCTGGAAAAGAAATCGCCTTGCAGCACCTTGCGAAAGACTTCAACGGCGAAATTTCTACGGGCCAAGCCAACAAAACGAATTCCTCGCTCAACGATTGCAGAACACTACTTCTGTTCTAATATCTACCCTTGAACCATATATATCTTCTTGGGAATACGTTTATGGGCCCGCCGAAGGGATTGGATTGATTTGCCCAGTGCCACGCCGCACCACACCACCTGCGAAACTCTTCCCACCACCGAGTCCGACTTGGAATTTCCTGCCCTGACGAGTCGACGATACCCTCCCCGACCTTACAGGGATGACGATTGAATACTCCGACTCGATATAGTATCTACCGAGCACTTCGGAGCTCTCAGTCTCCGCCCCAATCCAGCCTCAATGCTGGAGAGGACAGCTTCTTCCCTCGAGCAATGCGCACTGCACAGAATCCTCGCCACACCCTCCAGATCCGCATACTCCGTTCGGAAGCTGTCCCCTGCCTTCTGGAGGCATGGCGCGGCAGCGTTAGAGACCTCTGTGGCCTGGGCTGCTCTGCTCAGGAGCAGAGCTCGAGCGCTGACCGGGCCAACCCGCGTCCCCCACACAATCAACCCGTCGTTGAATGGTTATGATACGCTTGAGGCATTGTACGCTTCCGGCGCCGGGGCTCTCTCTACCATAAGAAGAGCTTCTGCTTCTTTGGTCGACGTCCACGATCGATGGCTATACTCTCCGCCCTTCATACAGACGAGATCGATTTCTTCCTCCGCTCCTCACCGATTCCTTGATCTTCCCCAGCCCTCGGTATCTCATGCTCCAAATAATGCCCACTTTAATTCCGCAAGAATTCCGGACGCGAGTCCCATCCTTAGTTTTAGCCAGATCGAGCCTCCCAGTGCTCGTCGGGAAGGAGAAAAAAGAGAAATAGCCAGTTCTAGTGCTGCCACTGATTATCCTACCGACGATCACCATGGTGCCCTTGCCCTAGAGCACATGCGGCATCTGATGTCCGAAGCGGATAGGAAGCAGACGCACGAAGTGTGGGAGTTGTACAGCCACCTCCCTTCTAGCACTCAAGAGGAAGTTCGTGTCGATGTACTACTCTATATCGGTCGATGGGCCAACAGCAAGATTGAGGCGGAGCGTTGCCGGTTACTCGTGACGCAACAAGACCGCGATTCTCTCGACGGCGAACTTGCCTTGATTGCTGTTCTGTCTTGTTTGAAGCTCGGCCTACACAAAGAAGCTCTTGATTACTTCAAGACTAATTTGACCAAGCGTCCGTCAACGACGATTTTTAAGGAGATAATATTCGCGAGTTTCAAGACGATGTCAGCGTCCCTGCTGTGGGATGCATGGCAGCTCTGGTCTGTCCACCACCGTTCAAAGTCGGCGCTGCCCTCCCTGCAAAGATTAAGATTTCTCCCCCATCTTGGCAAGGCAGTCCTGGACTTCTCGGCGCACTTCGACGCTCAGCGCAGGGCTTTATCGGAGTCCAAGCCCATTGATGGAAAAGGGGGGAGTGTGGCGCAATCCCAACAAACCAAACTCATCGACAGTCTTGACAGCGTGCTAAGGGACGTCGCGGAGATGGCGCTCTTCCAGCCGTGCAAGCCCAGCCAGGCCAGGCGCCTGCTTCGTCTGCTCGATCGGCCTGAGCTGTACGCTGAGTACATTATCGACGCGTTCCAGCGGCGGGAAACTACGCATCTTCCAGTAATATTCCAGGCGTACAAGCGTCACCCGCGAACAAAGATGGACCCTCGGGTTTTGGGTGTAATGTTTGAGGTTTTCTACCCATGCGATAGGCGTCGCTTGCTACGCCTACATAAGGAGTTTTGTCGCATGTACTATGGCGACGGCAAGCAGGCTCCCTCTGAAGACACCACCGCGATTCAGAATTGGTGGTCGAGCTACGGGGTGCGGGGCGCTTTGTTCAACCAAACGCAAGATCCGCTGTCCTATGAGCCCTACATCGAGGTGTTCAAGACACACGGTGACGAGGAGATGGCTCAGTTTGCTCTCAACGATGTGGTGGAGAGGCTTGGTGTCCAGTCCGGGGACCTCGAGTGGCATCGTCAACTTAAGCAGTACTGTCTCACCGGAGACTACAGAGGGGCCATAAATGATTGGACAAGTCGCAACGGCGAAGCCAGACCAGATATCCACACCCTTGCAACCATCATGGCTCTCTCTGCGGATAGCGGCGACCTAAGTTTCACCCTCGAGATGTTTGAGAAGGCGAAAAAATGGCGTCTGCATCGGACACCGCGCATCATCATACCTGTCATCCAAGCCTTTGGCAACAACGGGCTTCTTAAGCAGGCTACCAACCTCTGCACGTGGGCCATGGACAGTGGCATCCGCAGCCCTGAACTCTTCAACACCATGCTAGCTATTTTCGCCTCGCACCACCGGCTCCACGAGTCTCATCGTCTGATGAACTCCATGGCTCAGCATGGAATTCCGTGGGATGAGCGGACGTTCTTGCAGCTGACCCAGGCACTGGGACGCTGCAAGCAGGTGGGCAAGGCCTACGAACTTCTCAGACAGGCGTTGCGGTTGCAATTCTGGAGAGTTACTACGGAACACTTCGAAGCGGTGATGGCCGGTGCCCTCAAGACTGGTCAACACAATTTGGTTCACAGCCTTGGCAAGCGGATGAAGGAAGAGGGATTACCCATGTCGCTGAATGCTATGACCCTGTTGACCAAGTCGGCTCATCGGTGGGCTATCGCCGCCAAAGAGAATCCAAACATGCCTCCACTTCCCGGCGCACTCCCGACTGGGAGGGATCTTGTTGAGTATTACCGAAAGAGTGTGACGAGATCTCAAGCCGGCGGCGCACAACCGGCTGAGATAAACGATGATTCATCATCTTCAGCGAACGCTGGCCTCGACAAGCCTGAGTCGACACTGGCTCTAAAGCGAATCGCCTACACGCTCGCCCAGATTGGAGATGATGGATTGATCGCCGAGGTGACATCCATCTACCAGCAGCGGGCACCCCACCAATGCTCGGAACGGGATCTCCCAGATGGAATGCTCACGGCCATGATGATCACGGCCTTCTCGCGCAGCCAGAACCGCAGGGTCAAGCACCTGTGGAGCATCCTCTGGGAGCGCAACCTCCAGCTCAGCCTGACGACGGCGGACGAGGCCAAGGAAACGGCCAGGTCTCCGCGTCCCAAGATCCCCGTCAAGCTGCAGTATAACCTCGACGAAGGGTTCAAGACGATGCAGGAGGTCCTGACGCGGGAGGGTGACGCCGACGGCCTGCTCGAGCTCCTCCACGAGGTCACCTCGGCCGGGTTCCACCTAGGCCGGCGGAACTGGAACCATACCATCCAGGCGTTGGCGAGCATGGGGAAGGTTACGGAGGCGTTTACGTATTGCGAGCAGATGCTGATGCCGAATTGGATGGGGTGGAGGCATATGCGTAAGCTCAAGATTCGCACGATGCGCCACAACATGAGCCAGATTCACATTCGCAAGTCTCAGAAGCCTGAGGGTCAGCAGTCTCGGGAGCATCAGCCTCAGGATCAGCAGAGTGCTGCTTCTTCTCCGGCGCGGACGCCTCCACCTCCCATGGCGCAATCGACGGCTGGCGGACTGCTTCCCAAACGCGACCACCTCCTCCCGTCTCCCCTCAATGAAAGCCGACTCTCCTACACCACGACCACCACCGCCCACAAACCCCAACGCCGCCGCCCAACCCCCCTCTCTGAAGAAGCCGAACAACAATACCTCGCCGACCACGCCCAGGTCGCCCGCTTCCTCCGCCAAAAGTACAACGACCGCAAAACCCGCCGCTGGCAGCGCCGCCGCAAAGGCCGTGGCCGCTCCGTCACCCTCGCACCGCAGCTCCTCAACCCGGGTCTCAACCCGCGCTACCTCCGCCCCAACGCCGACACGCTCAAGCTCCTCGCCCGCATTTACCTCGACGCGTGGTCTTCGCAAACATCCGAGACGCTCCGCTTCGTCACGGCGTCGTGTCCGAGGACAGTTCATGCTATCATGACGTTGAAGTATTCGGATGAGGAGGAGGTGGGGGCTTGGTTTGGGGACAAGTATGCGTTTGGGAATGAGGTCGATGGCGTGGAGGAGAAGGAGGGCGATGTCGGTGGAGAGGAGGAAGGGGCGAGGAGGACGAAGGAGAAGAAGATGGTTGTTACGCCGAATTTGCAGGGGAAGATTAAGAATGTGCTTGCTCTTTCGGGAGTGAGGAGGGCGGCGCGGAAGAGGGAGTCGAGGAGGTGAATGAATTGGAGAGGGAGAAGTTTTCGTGTATGAAGAGATTTTTTTATTTATTTTTTTTTCTGTGTACCATCACGTTTTGTTTGATAAAAAGAAAACTGGATAGAAGGAGGATATCATCATTATTTCGGTTGATGTGGTTGTGGTTTTTTATTCATTCGTTCTTTTATATAGACTTCTAGAATGTACATTTTCATTCTCATCTCCCTTGACAACATTAGGATCTAGATTCTGGAAGTTCTTTCCGCATTTATGAGGTTGAAGTTGTAAAGTTGGCAGGAGATAGTTACGAGGCATCGGGCCTTGATGGGACAAAGCTGGGTGTTCCATGATGTAGCGGTTGGGACAGCTCGAGTCTACTCTTGGGGAGAGAATCTTGATCAAGGGTGTTCCGGGATGAATGAGGCGCTGGCTCTACTGAAGGACATTATGGGAAACGAGTTGCGCAAGCAGGACAAGCTGACCAAAGAAGACTTTGATGACCTTGTCTTTTGATCACGATAATCCTGAGGTCGAGATCAAAAGAGTTTCAGGGCCCTGCCGAGAATGACTCTCGAACTTAATAAAATCACCGTCCTTGAAGCTGGAAATGGTGCCAACGGGACCTACGGACATGGGTCGAATTGCTGAAGATGAAGCATACCGTCGTATATCGAGGTTGTAAGACGTTACACAAGGCTGACTGACCCCTGAAGATCTCGGAGCCCTACTTGCATGCCTCCATCTTGATACCAGAACAAATGTCTCAATCATCATCGACGATTCGTAGCAGATCAGAATCAGAACGTCGTAAAAAGAAAAAAAAAAGGAAAAAATCGAGGGAATCGACGTTACGTGTCATTGATCCTATTTCCTTACCAGCCTCTCTCCCCTTCTTCAGTTGCGAACATCAACCATTCTTCGCGGGGCATGTGCCACCATCCAGCCGACACCGACCTCGGTCACAAACGCCAACTCCTCGAGAAGCACCTCGCCACTTACCAAAAGATCCAAACATACTACGACTCGGTATCGAAGCAAGCCGAACAAACGCGCCATGACTGGGCGAGGGAATGCCTCTCACCCGGGAGCCTTATGGGCCATACTAGCAAAGACATTTGTAAACTCTCCCTCCCCCTCTCTCCCTGGCTCTCATGCCCCCCCAGTAATTGAGGTCCGCTTGTTAAAATCTCAAATATGTTTCTACACATTTATCACCATCATCATCATTATTATTCTTACTTCTCTTCTTTAATATAGGGCGAGATTTAAAGAAACAACGAGATGCCCTCGACGCGAAGATGGCGGGCAAGGACAAGGCCTTTGAGAGAGTCGAAGCCGCCATCGCGCATACGCGGGCGGATATCGCAGCATTGACTCGTTACTTTGACCAATGCGAGGTGCTGGCCGAACTGTAAGGTTGAAGATGTGCGATCTCTATTTTTCTCTACAAAAATCCAGGCCTGAGAAAAGAAAACGAAAAAAAAGAAGGGATAGAAAATAAAAAGAAACAAACTAATTCTTTGAGATTGTAGGCTTCCTCGCGAGATTGTACGGGAGATTGCCTTGTACGAATATTGCGATTATTTCCATGATCGGGGGGAAGTAAAGTGACAGCTTCGAGGCGTCTTTTGAGGAAGGTGCTGTGACTCAAAGCAATGGATTTTGATTTTGATGCCTCCGGGTCAGGATTCGGACGACAGAGAGATTGATCAGTTGCTCACCAAAATCGGTAGCAACTTGAGGGAGATTGTTGGAATGGTCGAGGAATACAGCGGGTGAACCTTGAAAGCGAGACTAATATAACGACTTTGCTGTGGATAGTATCGAGACCAGACGACCATGGTGTTGGGACAACTCTAGGCAGCAGTTTGGCCCTTGTGGATCAATGTTGGTATCATTAATGAATTGCTGGACGAGACTTTTGCTTCTAAACAAAGAACCACCAAAGCGATTAAGACCATTAACATCATTGAGAAGTGTAGACGCCAACGAGGCTCTAGCTTGTGTGCATTTACAAACCTCCCCACGGATTGCGCTTAGAGAGAGAAAAAGCCGCCTTAGTTTTCGTCAATGGCCTCTCGCAGCTACTCTCGTCCCGTCTATCTCGCCAAGTCTCGGCGCGGGCAGCAGCGTGCTCATTTCGCAATCTTCATTCCCCATGCCGCGTACTCAGGCCTTGACCCCAACGACAGGTCCAAACCCTGCATCGGAACTGTGATCCAGGTTGTTGGAGCTCCGATGCTCGGGTATGCTCACGAATTTAAACGAAACTATGACCGCGAGGACGCGGATGGTGTGGAGACATTCGTCCATCTTGGGTCGGTCGGCCCAGACCATATTGTCGAGCCTCAGACCACAGCAATGTCGAGGGACACGGTCGCCACGGGATTGCTGGAAAGGATAGCTTTGCAGGTTCCAGCGCCGGGCGTGAACGAGAACTTTATGGCGCCGGTCAACGACGTGAGTAGCAATGGGATTTTCTCCGGGGTCAAGCAATATCTAACTCACACCATTCCGTGTCAGACTACCAACAGGCGATGCCAGGAATGGACTATGGAATATCTGCGAAGACTGGTAAGCCAGGGCCACATTGAGGAGTCTGCGGTTACGATTGCGCAGGGCGAGCGAGATCCTCCTGAATATGGCATCGGACTTCGGCGGGTTGGTAGCTAGGTTGGTGGTTTTTAGGAACTAAGGGGAGGATCTCTGAGTTGATTATAAGCTCTTGAAGACGTCCAACGTCAAAGGGAATCGGGAAGATTCCCCCGCAAACGGTAACAAGACCAACGTTTGCTGGATGTGCTTAAACACCCACGATGATGGAATGCGTCAACGATTGTTTTAGCGTACTCAAGAATAGAGTTAATCCTAAGAAAGTAGACGCTGCTGCAGCGGGTGGATCCGGCCTACTGAATTCACTACAACTCAGATGCACCATCCAAGATCTGGTCTTGATCGATCTGGATGATGGGGTCAATCAGCACTTCAGTGAGCACCTTCTCGCATCGATAGAAATGTTTGCTGAACCAAAGGCTGAAGGAGACCTTTCATCGATGCGAATCCGAAACCCGTTCTTTTGACCTTCATCGCTTTCAATTCAAATGCGTTTCCGCCAACTAATGTATATTGGGTCAGTTGGGATGGATTGACCCAGCTTGCTTGCTGAGTGTGGTAACTCCAAACGATGACTACTCATCAGGCTCGACACACAAGCTGGACGGGACGGGCACAGAAATGGATCCAGGAGCTGTCGGATTAACTAGGCATCAACGGGGAGCTAGATAATGCTCGTCAAAATTCTGCCAAATATGACAGCGAGCATTGAGCTTTCTCAATGCCAGTCTAACCTTGCCCTCAATCCAAGCCAGTGGGGTTTTGATATCGCTGCAACTGCAAGCGGACACCCAATTTGATATCTACTTCGATGTTCGTCCATGTGAAAAGGTGACAAATGCACACCGGCCATGCAACATGCAGGATGCAGCTCCTTCATCATCATTGATGTGTTGTAGATTATACACGTCTGCCCAGGCTAACAAAAGTGCACGATAAGTGAAAAACGATGCCCGACGACCACGATTCTCGGTTTTCCCTCGACGCTGCAGTGTTAGCGTCTGGACTAAGTTGATGCCATGCCACACATCCTATCTCGTCATCGCTCATCTCATCTGTTGGAAAGTGAGGCAGAGATGCTGACACTACCGCATTTGAGTACTCAGTACCTGTAAGTGTGGGTAGGAAGATCGGACAATGAAGGTTAAGGGTTCTTCCGCCTCTGCAGGGGGCTGGCTGTATTGTACAAGCAAGTGCGTATCAATGATACGTGTAATATCAATTGATCGATCTCTGGATGGACATTTGAGGAGTGAACAGCGCTTAAGTCTATGTAATTGACATTTCTCGGATGTCTCGAGGGCATGTCTCAAATCTCCTTACCATCAATAATACAACGTATTTGATCAATGGGTAATGGGTAATCTCCTACCCCGCCTGTACACTTCACTGTTCACGCTGGCTGGCAGATTGGGGGTGTTCGATGGTCTCGTGAGACTTCCGAGGTCAGAAGACGATCATTGTGAATAAGCCGGCACTATGAAGTACAATGTACATAGTGCAGCGTTGAGGGTCTTGGAAAGATCGAGGGTCCATACTTCGTACATCCGACGGATCATGACTTGGAATTGATCAATAGCTCGGACTTACAATTGTACCTCACATCAGTACCTCTGTAGAGTGAAGACCAGGGACCTCTAGATTTGGTAACTAGTGCCTGTGACTGTGACTGTGACTGTACCGTTTGGATGGGACTTCCGCAAAGTACGAAGTATACTGAACCAATTTACGAGGCAGGAGCGTCTCCGAAGTTTGAGTCCTATACAATTGTAGGATGTATTATGAGTACACATGGAAATAGTGGCTGGATCGGTCTCACCTGCCCAGCTTTACCCAGCTCCACCCAGCTCCTTCCCGCCTGTATTCCTCATGAATATTCCCATCTCTTGACAAAAGAAATCAAATGTAGCTGCTTCGATCCGGCCAGATTCATGTTTCTGTGCCGCAGTTTACTTCGTCCAGCTTCTCCCGTCCAGCCTTTGTTTCATTTTCCATTCTCCATTTCCACCCGATCCATCCCTTCCAGAAATCGCCGATCCGACCAAATGGGCCAGACCCATCGATCCCACCCTAAACCCTGTCGTTCGCTGGGCCTAAAGCGAAACCGGCCCCTCAACGGCAGTCCAATCTGGTATTAGCAGCCTTCCAATCTGCAGTCGCCCACTCTCGCCCACTCTTCCAGATAATCAGAGTCACCGTCGACTCACTTATAAGTCCGAGGCGGGTCCTTATGACGTCCCTCCCGAGGCACCTCTCATTCTCCTTTCCAGCTGTGCTGCTTTGCAAGATTCAACTCTCAATTATCTCATCCTTAAAAAAACCCAAAACCAAAGAGCAGAAAAAAATTCTAATTTTTCCAACCAAAAAGAACGGCTCCAAAATTGTTTGCCTGGGGAATCCGTCTCAGATAGTATAAACTTCACTGCCAAACAAATTCAATCTAGCCCTTGCTCCGAATCCCGAAAAGAGAAGAAGCTCGACTACATCTGCAGAGATCATGATTGCTTGCAACCTGACGTCTCCCCACCTTTACCTGTGACACTACAGTCTCTTGAACCACGCTGCAGCCCTGCCTGCTTGCTGTGGTTTGGGAGAGAGAAAAAGTCACTTGAATTTGTCTTCGTACGCCCATCATGCCGATTATTGAGGATGATTTCGACCATGACGGTCTGGTCGACGAGACCGCCGCTCGTGTCGATCGCCTTCAGAGCAAACAGGTTTTAGCTCCGACCAAGCCCGCCAAGAAGCTCGAGCCCGACCGTCGCCCTGTAGAGATTGCCCACAATCATCACCACCATAGGCGGCTGTCCGAGGAAAGCATTCGCACCGAACTTTGTGAGGGTCCTATTCCAGACAGTCCGAGGCCCGCCACTCCTGAGCTGGCGGACCAACCGCGCCCGGATAAGGCTGAGCTCCTTGAGAAGTTTAGGGGGGGCGAGAGCACGGCTTGGTTCAATCGACATGTCGACCTACAAGATGCGTCTTCCTACTCTTCGTACTCACCGCTTCTTTCCAACTCTCCGCCTCCGATCGAGTCTATTCTCCGTGGGCGCCCCTCCGGACCGGTTACGGACGGTCCCAGGACCACACCCGACCCAGCGGCAACTCTTTTACCAGCTGCTCAAATCACACCGGAGAAGATAAAGGACGCGATAGGCGGTGGCAAGGACGACCAGAGGTTACAGGAGGGCTTGAGTATTGAACGTCCAAGGTCAGCCCTACATTCTGGAGACTTCACCGAGAACGAGCATGGGCAAACCAGGTCCCTGCGCCACCTTGACGAGGCCCGGTTAGCTCAAGGCCATCATGGCGTCGTTCAATCCCCGCGCCCTCTGCATACTTGGGTAGCAACTTCGCCCCCAAGGCCGTTCGCTCCTTTTGCCTTTCCCCAGCAGCAAAGCCCGTTCTCAACAAGGGACGAATTCAAGTCAGTTCCTTCGTCACTATCCTCTTCGTTTTCCAATAGCTTTGTGTACAAGCCGCCAACGAGCCCTCTGGTTCAGTCTGAGATTAACGAAGACTTGGACATCTCTCTCCCGATGAATGGCATCAACATTGCTTCGCCGTCTCCCGCTCGTAGACGCCATTCCCTCTACCCTACTCCCTCCCCGCAGCCCTTCGTCTTACCGCGCTCAGAAGCCTCCACACCCCAGAGTATCCCATCCTTGCGCCGTGAAGCCTCCTTTCCCTACCAAGCTCACCAACCGCGGAGGTCTCTCACCTCGACACCCAGCATTAACCTCGCACCCAGCTTCCCGGGCACGCCGGCTCTTCTCCGCTCTAGAAGGCCATCGTTCACCTCCGATACTTCGCCCCTACAACATGCGTCCATGGTGGGCTCCTACGAGGAGAGCATTCTGCGCGGTCGCATGTCAACCACTCCGTCCAAGCCCATCGAGTTCCTGGCCCAGATTGGAGTTTTGGGATTAGGGAAGTGTAAGGCGAGTTTGAGATGTCCACCTCATGTGACGCTGCCGTTCCCCGCCGTCTATTACAGTTATGGTAATAATAGCGTGCCTGGACGACCCGGATTCGAGGACGGTCCGAGCCCGTACGTCGGCCAGATTGACCTCGAAAACGGGCTCGCGAATCAGGAGGACGAGTTGAGGTCCAAGCGGAAGATGCAGAATAGATATGCCGATCGGAAGCCACCCGAGGAGGACATGGATGTAGATGACTCGGTATCCGGTGTGGGTGTGGGCGTGGGCGTGGGCGTGATGGGTGACGCGGAGCCACGACGAACAGCGGCTCCGAGACGGCGCAGGTCTGGTTCTCCCAAGGTCCCTCCGGGCGGTAGCTACCGGATACCGGAAAAAGGCCGAATTCAAATCGTCATCAAGAACCAGAACAAGACGGCCGTAAAACTCTATCTGGTCCCCTACGATCTATCGGGCATGGAACCCGGCACGAAAACATTTATTCGCCAGAGAAGCTACTCCGCCGGCCCCATCATCGACGGGTTACCGCAAGAAACCGCCACCACCGCCGCCGACGAGCGGCCCGTCCTCCGCTACCTCGTCCACCTGCACATCTGCTCCCCCTCCAAGGGTCGTTTCTACCTCTACAAGAACATCCGCCTCGTCTTCGCTAATCGCGTCCCCGACGGAAAGGTCAAGCTGCGCAACGAGACGACGTGGCCCGAGCCCCGGTTCTCGCCTTACAAACCCATCCGCGTCATGCATCCGCCCGTCACGGCGTCGACCAGCAGGTCCGCGGCCATGTTGGCGGCCGAGAAGGCTTTCAGGAGGAGGAGCGCGGGGTATCCCTACAGTTTTGCGCCGCCCATATTTAGTAGCCACGCTGACGATCATCACGCCTCGTTTTCGAGACCGCCAGCCAGGGTTGCGTCGGGCGGCGGTGGTTTCTCATCGCCGTTTATGGGTTTTGCGGCGGCGGGAGACGACTCACCCGTGCCTGCCGACCATCCTACCGCGTTCCGTTTCCCCTCGAGGGATAGGCTAGACAGCGGGGCTAGCGAAAGCACCGACACCACGGGCACGGGCGTGCAGTCTCCTAGCGCCACCGCTCACCAGAGAGATAGGGAAGTCGCCGCGCGATGG